GTATGCATCTTTCACTGGAAAAACTGGGGGGAAAAAGAAAAGAAAGAAAAGAGGGTAAAAATTGGCCCGTTTATTGAAGGACACGTCCAATTTTCTTCCACCGACCTCCCATCTCCACAGCTTCGGTCCCTTCCTCTGCCCTAATTCATACGCATGCCCGCACTTTCTTCAGTGAAGTAAGCATCTCATTCCACCACACACACACACACACACTTGTGTCTCGTTCACTCTATTTAAATGTGGGGACAACGCAGAGGGGGAAAAAGGAAATTCAAGATAATACCTCGATGACTGTACAGATTAAGACACAAAAGTTCAACAAAACAAACATTCTTAATTAACGACAGATACGATCCACTGCCGTTTCTTTATCTTTAAACCCACATGGGCTTATGAAACACGCAGCAGTCAATTAGAGTCATTACCAACCAACCTCACACAAATAACTGATACGTGCCTCAACCTTCTTGTCTTGTGGAGGGACTCCCAAAATTTCATCATATATGATGACCCCCGCTTAGTTTTTTTCTTTAGTTTTTTTTTCTTGGGAATGTACGAAGTCGGGATAAGTTATTAAAGTGTCCATGACTTATAGATTTATTATAGATTTTGCATTATATATTAATCAGCATATCGAACATCACTGAAGTAGAATCCTTAATCTCTGAATCTGAATACTAAACCGTCACTAAAGACGAAGCATCTGAATAAGTTGAGATTTTTTTTTCCCACGACCACCAAATCACCAATGAAAGGCTGACAAGATACCAAGCGCCAAATACACTGAAGATATATGCATACATATCTCGTGGAGGAGTAACGACGGAAGATTTTCGAGCGGGTGCCTTCGTTATTGACCTAATTAATAAAAGTGAAGAGTGATTGATGCCAACTAATTACAATCACTTGCTGAGATAACGAGGATAAATTGTAACGAACGCTGTTGTGGTATAATATATGTATAAAAACTATTTAACTAGTTTGTGCAAATTAAAGAAATTAATTAAGTTAGTTATTTGTAATAAATTGATATTTTTTTCTTAAAATATCCTCACTAGTCAAATGCCATTTGATAAAATATTTAAAATGTGTAACTATTATAAGGATTATTTAAAAAAAATAGATAAATATAAGAGATAAAGTGAATTAAAATCTTATATTTAAAATTAAATTAAAAACAAACAGATTTTTTATATTAAAACTAATAAAATTGAGATGAGAGCGCCCTTTTTAAGCCAAATTAAAAGTCATGTCCGCAGGGGAAAAAGGTACCAATAGAAATCCATTTTGGTCGGGAGTGACCTCAGAACTGACAATCACCACCTGCTTAAAATCTTATCTTGATTAATAGTAGTTAAAAATGGCCCACAGTCACTCATAAGGCACTTTAGTTTCCCTTGATTTTTGTCGTCAAATAAACAGGACGCAGTTTTTGGTCTTTATGGGAATATTTCCGATGGTGGGTTACCTCGTGTGTACCTCGTGTGTACTGTCCTGCCCCATTATTTTGCGCTGTCGTCATTTTTCAAGTTCTAGAGTTGGAATTGATGGAACTCCCCCGGCTCAAGATGAGCATTCCATTGGAATCAAAAGTGCGATGACGGGTTCCAAAGAAAAAAGAAGAAAAAGGGTAGCGAGGGGCAATTAAAAGTAGAAGGGGTTCATGGATAATTCCAAGTCTTCGTTCTCTCCAAGTTCGCGCCACGTTTGGAGGTTGTGTATTTAGGTTGGATTTTAATAATCGATTATGGATTCGGCAGGGTTCTTGAGTCTTCTTTTTTAACCCTGATTATCGTTAATCCTGTTATAGCATACCCCCCCAAAAGAAACAGTTAATAATATTTTATGAATAACTTGATATAAAATCTAAATAAAATCAAAAGCAATCAAATCATAAATTTTATACATAGATAAGACGAAGCAGTTAATAAATTTTTCACGTCCATAATAAATAAATTTCACTATATCATTTTATTTTTAAAATTTTTTTATTCTATATTTTGTGATAATTTATATCTCACTAATTACGTAATTTGTATTGGCCATAATTAATAGTGTATTATAAGCATGAAGACTAATGATTATAATCTTCAGCTAAAAAATGATTATAATCAATAAAAAAAGTAAGGGACCGAATAACAAATTACAAAAATCCTGAATTATTAGATGAAATTATGAGAATTTGTATATCATGTAACACGAAGACGATTGAGTACTATTGTTGTATATAAAAAAGGGAGCGGGTTAGGGGAATACCAGAGGCAGGGTGAAAGGGGTGCAGCAACCAACCATAGTTAAACAAACGTGGGGATAACGGTGTCAAGGATCGGGAAAATCGAGGAGAGGCGGATTCCGTCGATCCAGCAAGCCACGTGGTGAGCCTTCGACCTAACCACCTGGACTCTGCTCTCCCCTTGCCACTTGCCATCCACTCCTTTTTCCACCCCATTTCTCTTTTTTTGGTTATTGTCCTCCCTCTGCGCTTTGTTGGCCCCGCCAAAATTAATGAGAAAAATTAGGAATAAATTGCTTATTGAAAATTTAATTAATAAACAGAATTTAAAGATTTTATATAACTTAATTTGTTTAATTTGATTTTTTTGTATGCAGTAATCTCTTTTTATAAGATGTGCAACTCAATTTTTCTTTATGTAAATAAAATTTTATTATATGCAAATCATATGTGTCAATTAATTCTTTATATCTAAATAGATTTGTGCACATTAATCTCTTATATCTAAATAGTTTTATACAAACTATCTTTCTTTTTCACAACTTACCAATTAATCATCTTAGAAATGATCAGCCAATTAAATTTGTAATAAGAGATTTATCTTTAATTTTATCAAAATCTGCCTCCCCTCTCTTAATCCCCGCCTAATTTCCTTATTACATTTTCAGTCTTAATTAGCTCTGCACGTACTGTTCCCCAATCTCTTCTTAATTGCACCGGATCCTCTTCCTAATCTCTCGCTGATTTTCTCATTTCTTCATTAAACTCATTTAATATTATCATAAATGTAAATTTGCAAGCAAACTCTTAATCCTTTTTTTTTTTTTTTGAGGGTCAAAGCAAACTCTTAATCCAATGGAGCAGTGTCCTACTCATTGTGGACGTGCAACGATCACTCGGTAATCAACGGGGAACAATTTCTATTCTAATTTCTAAAGGGAAAAAAATGTTCCGCGGTAAATTGATAAAAATTGGCCCAGGGATGAGGTCAGCGAGGCGGGGCGGTTGGGTGGAACCCACAGCCCCGAGCGGGGCACCCGGATTTCACCTCTAATTTATTATTGTTGGCGGGGGCCCCACCTCCTCCTTTCCCTCCCTTCCCACTCCGCCCCAAAACCTCCGTCACTTGGCCGTTTGCCTATATAGCCATCGCCTCCTCCACCGCTTTCTTCAGTCTTTCCTTCACCCAGCATCCCTTTCTCAACCATTAGCTTCCACTGTTTTTTCCTGTTTTCTGAGGTCGCTTCCGTCTCTTCACCCCACTTCCCCCTGTGCTTTGGCCTACTTCATCATAAATCTTTCGGCGCATTCCCCTCTCTCTTCACCTCCTCTTTCGCTCCTTCCCTTCTCATTCGCATCCTTATGGAGCTTTTCAATAACGATGATCTTAACTACGTTGTGGACGACTATTACGACGTCCCGGATTTTGAAGATTTTGAGGATGATGACTCTTCCGCCGACAGCCGCTCTTACAGCAACGCTGCCTCTCATTCTCCGGACTCCGACTATGAAGATGATTTTGAAATGGTATAAATGCTATTTTATTATCTGCTTTTCCTCAGATATCGTGCGTTTCATCCATGTACTTTGTTGTAATGGGTCCGTTAACGTGACAGGGTCAATCGAAGACTGATACTTCTGCTCGGGAAGCTAGGAACGGGAAAGATATCCAGGGAATTCCTTGGGAGAGGCTTAATTATACAAGGGACAAGTACCGTGAGACTCGACTAAAGCAGTACAAGAACTATGAGAATCTCTCTCGCTCTCGGGTGGATCTTGACAAGGTTAGTTTTTACGTTGCTTGTTACTTAAACAACCTTTTTTTCCGGGCGACAGGAATAAGAAATTCCTGCGAACTCGGCGCATCAGTTTTTCTCTTCACTGCGAGTGCCTTTGCTTTAGTAGGCACATATCTAAACCTTTTGCTTATCAGGAGTGCCTCGAAGTGAGGAAAGGAAATTCCTTCTATGACTTCCAGTTCAATACAAGGATTGTCAAATCAACAATTGTGCATTTTCAGGTAGACTTTGTTCGCCTCTACAAATCACGTGACAAGTGTTTTCTTCTGTGCTTTTTCTTTTTTCCCACATTTGGGTATCGAGCTGATTTACATTTTCAACTCCTCTCATAATAATCGCATATTCCAACCTAATCTGATGCTGTTACTGTGATGCTATTGGTGCTGTTATTTTATTTCAAGGTTCTATTTGTTTTCTAAGAACTATTAAATCAAATGAGTTGATCATCTGTCTTACTAAAGCGAATGACTTCATTCTACAGCTTAGCAGTATAAACTTGACGTGGCTATCTTGCGTACTTAATCAATTTTTGTTTCAAGTCGCGAATCTGGCCGAATAATATTGGATCATGATAATCTTATATGTAGAATAAATCTGGTTTATATTTTTGCAAGATTCAGTCGTTGGCATCACTCTCTGAATGATTTCTGTTTTGTGACTAATTAGTCTGAAACCACCCAAAAAAAAAAATATATCTTCTCTTAAATCAAACGACTCTGGAATTTTACAATTCGAAAATTCCGTACGATTAAAATTGGTTAATTATGAGTCTTGTTTAATTTCTTCCGAAGCCACTATGAAGCCTTGCTCTTACAAGGTAAAAGATTTTTCTGGTCTAGTTCAGAAATTTTCATTGACAACTCTCTTGTGTTGTATTTTGCATCAACAGCACCCAGAATATCAAGGAAAAAAGTTCTACGTAAATTTTGACCTGTGATTCTTCAGCAAATGCAAATTTCATTTCCATATTTCAGACTTAATTCGCCTTATCGTGTTCTGCAAATCTTTCTTAGATGACAAGGAGGCTTACTTTTGAGTTGCACACCCTTACTTTGTTCTATTCTTTTTTATTTTTCTGAAAAATTAGAAGATTAATCTTTCAAAAGTATTATTCCGATACATGCCAGATATTCTGTTGAACGGACAAGATGGTTTCAAGTCAAGTTATGGATATGGTTTCATCAAGGCTATGGTGTCGCTTGGTGTTCGTAAAATCAGTGACTTTGTGTAATAGGGTTTTCCATCTATATGGCATGCTTGTATGAAATAAAATGATGATGGGTAACAGCCAACTGGTCACATATCGTTGGACCTGAAGCTTTTTAGCTTCAAACCATCCAGTCTTTTAAGTTGATCAGAATTAACTGCCCATATAGTTTCTAAACGGAATTTTAGCAGTTTCCTGCTGTTGCTGTATTTACATTTTACAGTTGACCTACCCAACTCTTGCGGTATAACATGGCATATGAGTTCTTCCATAAGGAGATAGATGTTGAGTATTTGATTCTCTCTTCAGATGAGAAGAATAGGTCTTTTGTGTTTTCATTTCCGTCAAAACATGCAAACGATAAATTCAAGCTCTGGTGTCCTTATTGAATACTGCATACTGCACTGCATTTACTTTTGAATTTCATGGATGCTTCCCATGTCATATGTATAATTTTATGCATTATCATGTACTCATTCATTTTTTGTATTTACTCTCTTCTGTGATTAATATATATTTGGGCACGTAGTTTTTGCATTCAAGCTGTAACTATATTTGTATTTGTAATTTCATTATGTCATTTGACCTTTTTGTGCATCTAGGCTTGCTATTTCTCTCTTTATGTCAGCTTTTAAGGCAGGTGGAAAGTGAGCGGCTTGGCACGACCTTTTTTTATGGTATGATAGGAAAATATCTGACCACACTTAAGAGGGCTGTAACAATATCTGTAATTAATGTCAATTTGTCCTAATCAACTGGGTCTCATCCCTTAATTATGGACTGCGCACTTACAGGATCTTTTAGTCAGCCAGTACAGCTTTTACTGACATTCAGTTTGCGTTATTTTAATTTAATTTCATTCTCCAATAATCTGTTGTCTGGTTGCCATTATAAGTTATTTCCTTTTGCAATCATATGATGATCACCTCTATTCTAATTTTTGGTCAGCCGGTCTCATTATTTTGATGTAGTTCTTTATTATACTTGAATTGCCAAAGTTGTTGGACATTGGCTTTATTGTGTCGAGTAACGTTAACATGCAAACTACTAGTTTTCTTCAATGGTCTTGTATTTACTACTAGCCAACCTTCCCTTCGCAGATTATGAACTCTCCATATATTGGTGATTGTCGATTTACATGATGTTGGATGACTCTTATTTTAAACAATATTCAAGTGTTCTTACTTTTTACGTTGCCAATCGCTTCTCTGTGCTGTCTTTCCCTTTCTCCTCTCTTTACAAATGAAGGCCATCATTCTGAGATCAGCAACCACCCAACGTTTTCTACATCGTTAAGATATCATTTAAAGAAAGGACAAAGAAAAGGTTCCCTGTCATTTTAATCGTGATCAGTAACTACTTCCCCAAATAGAAATCCTGTTTTCTAAAGAAGAAAAAAGAGGGTGGCAACTGCCAACATTGGTGGAGAATTTATTGGTATTCTATTGTGCTGAGGACAATATTTAGATTGTCGTTGCTAGAAGCAATAATTTACATCTAATCTAACAGTTGTTGGTCCAATATATCCATTCCATTGTTATTCTAGCTGCAAACTTTTTATCTTTATAAAATGCATTTTTATACCTACTGGGCGCTGATATTGATGTCATCAAAATGTTTTCTTTACTGTTGCAGCTGAGGAATTTGTTATGGGCAACGACGAAGCATGATGTATACCTTATGCAAAACTACTCTGTGATGCATTGGTCGTCTTTACTTCGAAGGAGTAAAGAAGTACTTAATGCGGTGAAACCCATTGTTCCAACTGTTGTACGTACCCAGATATGACCGAACCTTGTATGGTTTCTGCACTGAACTTTATCTGATCCTATTGTGCCTGTGTTCTTTTTGCAGAAGCACCCCGGATTTTCTGCTCAACCTATCTCCAGAGTACAAATAAGCACCATGGCTGTTAAGGAAAATTTAATGGTAGCAGGCGGTTTCCGGGGTGAGCTTATTTGCAAGGTAGGAAATCATCAATGATTTGAATTGAGAAATGATTAGTCAGCTTAAGATCTTCCGTTTTGACGGGTTTTGAATCTTTGTGGACAGAACCTGAATAAATCTGGAGTTGCTTTCTGTAGTAAAATAACTACCGATGATAATGCTATAACCAATGCTGTAGATGTTTACCCTAATCCCAGGTAAGCAACTTACTGGGAAAGAAGAAAAGAAAAGAACTTCGCTTGAAATTCTTTGGTTTCGGTTTGGCTCATAACTAATCGTTGTTTCTGCAGTGGGTCTATGAGGGTCGTGACAGCAAATAATGACGCCCAAGTTAGAGTTTTCGATGCTGATAATTTTGCTTCTCTTGGTTGCTTCAAATATGACTGGTCTGTTAACGTGAGTGTCGTCCACTAGGAACGCTTTTTACCATGTGCATCTTGATCACTTCCTCAAATAACCATAACAATCGTGTTTGCTGTTTGAACCTTGCAGAGCATTTCCGTTAGTCCCGATGGGAAGTTGTTAGCTGTTGTTGGGGATAGTGCTGAGGGTTTGATAGCTGATGCTAACACAGGAAAGGTAAGTTGATAGTTGCATTTGTTTGTAAATGAGCAGCTGCTTATTTCACGATTTCTGATCATGACATGGCATATTTCAGGTTACCGGTAGCCTGACAGGACACTTGGATTATTCTTTTGCCTCTGCTTGGCATCCAGATGGGCGAATATTGGCTACTGGCAATCAGGACACAACATGTAGGTTGTGGGACATCAGAAATCTTTCACGTTCCATTGCTGTACTCAAGGGAAGAATGGGTGCAGTAAGAGCCCTGAGGTTCACTTCAGATGGACGGTTTCTGGCTATGGCTGAGCCAGCAGATTTCGTCCATATTTTTGACTCTCACGGTGATTATAAACAGGGACAAGAAATTGATTTATTTGGTGAGATCGCTGGTATTTCCTTTAGCCCGGACACGGAGGCTCTATTTGTTGGCATCGCTGATCGTACTTATGGGAGCTTGTTGGAGTTCAACAGGAAACATTTTAATCGATATCTAGACCGTGTGTTTTAGAGGAGCCTCTCCCAACCCGTACAGCAAGCCTCTCAATACTGATTTTTGAAGGTGTTTTTCTCCGGAGATCCTTCTTCGTTTACTTTTGAGTTTTATGGTTAGGCAACTTGTAAATTTCGTCCTCAGTGAGCTATTTCTGTTAAGGCATCCTGACTTTTCAAATGCGGGAATGTATTCTCAATTATTTTTTTTTTTGATGGAATACTCTTTTTTTATAAATTCGCAACTCGGAGAGATTTTTTTTTATATCTTTTTTGTAATTAATGTATAATTTTATATTTTGTTTATTATTGTGTAAACTTTTATTTTTTAGAAAGGTATATATTAATAGGAATAAATGTGACATATTATTGAATTTTAGAAAGGTTAATTAAGTTGTTAGATTTTTCTTGTTATGATGATGAAACGTGCTGGAACAGGCATGGAGTAGTGTGGCTCCCTACTAGTCTGCGTCCTCCCTCGGGCCAGGCTGTCATAAATTTCGAAGATTTGTTTGACGCAATGCAAAATTCCGAAATTTTTTTGTTTCCATTTGGGCCATGGCGTGTCCATCATGTTAAAGCGGCAATCTGTGAGGGCCTCAAAATGGAGATATGTTGGGCTGGGCTAACCCGAAAGGATGAGCAAGGCAAGGCCGAGTTACCGAGACGCAGAATAGCACTTTCGAGCCTACGGCTAAAACTCAATATTCTAGGCAGCAAAGTGCACAGCCTCCACTGTCCGGTTATTCAAGCTGCTTCATTTTCCCCGGTCCTCTGCACCTCTCTGCAATTTCCTTATCTTTGTACGTAGATCAGTGTAACAAGCAAAAAATTGAACCGAAAAAGAGGATCGGACGATGTCAGTTAAACAATGAATCGCGCGAGAAATCATCAAAGAACTGAGGAAAATGAGATTATTGGAACTTAAAAACGACGAAGTTAATAATGGAAGAGGATATTATGACATAGAATGCGGATGTTAGGAGTTATACGCAGATGATGAAAACATGAAGAACTCGACTGTCCGTTTTGCTGATATTTTCAGTCTTTCCAACGTTAAATTCATTAAAAAGTAAAGCCCTTGTATCATGTAGCTCAACCTGATCTCAGAGATCAGGGGCGATTTCCTGGATGGAATTGGTCGCCTGAGTAGTAAACGAAAATGTTAGGAACACAAGAAGTTGGACTGGACAGGTTTGACGGAGCCTTCAATAAGTTAGTCAGCAAATTTTAGTAAGTTGTAACAGCAGTAGAAATACTCCCATGATATAAAATCAGCATTCTCGTGAGGATCATTGGAGACTACATTTTAGCTGCCATAATGATGCAGGCACGGTACTAGACATCTTTGCTTCAATCAAAATCAGACAGAAATTTACCCAACCAAAATTTGATAGCCATTCCTTTTGGATAAAAAAGTTGAGATGTTTCATGTGTGGGCGCCTTCAAGATCATTTTCCCCCTTCCCACTCCTCCTCGTCGTTCCTTTTTATCCCTTCTTGGTATTTTCATTCCCCTAAAAATCATTCGATTATACCCAACATATCGATGCAGCGTTTATACTGCTAGCTCCAGTCATAATCATTTTAATTCCATTCTATCACCATTCGCCCCCCCCCCCCCAAAAAAAAAAGAAAAGAAAAGAAAAGCGATTTGGATATTCCAAGAAAAGTAGACAGCGACTCTCGCCGCACCTAAACGAACATCTAAATAAGACATCATGCTTATATGTGTTGTTTTGAGCTAGTCCTTTTTTATTCCTTTTTCCTTTTTCAATCGGATCCAAGGTCCTGGCTAGAGCTAGAAGCCACAGTGCTTACAGCTCTCTAAATCCGGCAGTTGTGCCATGTTGTGGACTTCGGAGTAAAAGCAGCCAGGTCTGCCCTTGACAGGACAGGCTGAATGAGTAGGGGCCCAGGAAAGACATGCATAGAAGTAGAAGTTAGTTCCCACCAATTTTCATTTTCCTTTAAGATATATTACTATACATACGATATGTATCGATGTTGTACATACTCCGCAATACGTTCGGGTCATTCGCGGCCTCGACGTTTCAATGAAGCAGAAGATACAATGGAAGTGAGAGTTTAATTGGGTTTGCTGAATGGTTCAACCACCCCCCCCACTTGTTTGTTTAATTTCGTTGGTCTAATTATTTAGCTGCTGGCCTTAATTTCGTTCCCTCATTTCTTCATCGATCTGTTCACTGCCTTCATCAGTTGGGTTTAGAAGAAAGACGGAACTGAAATGTTTCACATGATCCCCCACTCCTTTTCACGTGGTCCTATCTCGTGCCTTTTTCTTGTTCTTTTCTGTCACTTGTTCCATCCCGCATCATTAATTCTCCCTAACTGCTACTCCACCCTTAATCCAACGTCCCGACACTAATTACTGACTCTGTTACCTTCCTCCTTGATAATCTCACTATATATACGATATACAATGTTTCTTCCATTTCTATCGTCATTGCTTCTCATCTGATCACTTTTTACTTTTTACCCGCATCATGCATACTTCAAGTTCTGTTCTTCAAACAACCTACAGATCTGAAATCACTATAATATTACGGAGGATCAATGATTATGAGCTGGTCAACACAGTCAGTTCTTTTGAGGATAATAATCCACCACTCGTTAAAGGGTGCTAATTAACCACGAGAATAAAAATTAAGAAAAATATCGGGATCGGATATGCATGGCAATCAAATAATCAAATAAATGAACTGATATGCATCCATGATTCATGAATAGCCAGCGTCCATGAGTATAAACACGTACGCCACCATGCAACGAATGGGATGGGATGGAGGGCATTTATTAGTAGTGGTGACGGGGGCGAATGTCAAAACCTGCAAAACAGAAAGGAGCAAAAAAGAAAATCGCTGAGAATAATGAAACAAATCATGTTTCGTGAGCCAATAAAAGAGTGGCCTGGTTTGTTCTGCCAATGCAAAACGATGGTTGGGGATAAAAATGAAGTCACACGAAACCTTTTTTCTTCATTCTTGTTCTGTAACTGTTAAAGGAAAAAAGGCCTTCAACTTGGAATAGTAGTATATCCATTCTGGCCAAAAAGGGAGGAAAAAAAACGTATTTTCATGATTCAGCTTTGCATGGGGTTCGGATCTCAAGATTCCTGACAATTGGCCACGTGTCTTGGGATTCTGAAGGCCAGTTATAATTGTCAAACATCATAAACAAATCAAAATGATTGACTAAAATACCGCACTTAGTTCTAAATAATTTTAACGATTTATGTTTATTTTCTTTACTTTTGTTTACATGATACGCTCCCCAGTTTCACAACACAAGTCTTTCTTCGGAAAAAGTTTTTGTTTCATTTTTTATGTCTTTTAGAAGTTTAAGGTTTAAATTGTCTATTTTTAAAATATAAAAAGTTGAATTTTCCCCCCCTAAAAAAGTGAAAATGCTCGGATTCTTAAAATTAGCAAAAATATAACATGCTCTTTTGTTTAGTAGATATTTATGCATGTTTCCAAAAAAAAAAGAAGGGATCGTCTAATTTTAATTAGAAACAAAATGATTGAGCTTATTATGGAGTACAACTTGTGTATACCGCGGAATCATCCATACTTCGAGAGTTGAAATTATCAAAGTAATATTTAATTTGCATTATTTAAAATGAGAACAAGTACAGTGATCCATGGGGGAAGGTCAGCGGACTTCATTGAGAAGGAAGGAATGGGGCTGATATGGTGGGATATGCCCCGATTCGCTGAAGCAGCGCAATTGCGGCTCCAAGCAACCACTTCGCATTCTGGGCCGCCAAGTCTTACGCTCCTCATTTCTAACCCCCCAAGCTGACTCCGATTTCACTCATCACCCCAAAATTGTTTCCTCCAGCCAAAGGGGATTTAATTTTTCTGGTCAACCAACAGGAACTAAATTTAATAAAAGATGTTAATCACCCACAATGTGATAAATTAAAATTTAAATTATTATGAAAAAAATATACTCTGCTGTCTAATAATGCTTCGAATATCATTGTCTTGAATAAAAAAAATATAGATGCCTGACAAAAAAATTTCTCCCGCACATTTATCCTCGTTCGTCTCCTTTCCTATTCTTCCCCTATTCTGATGGTTATTGGGTACTTTCTTCCTCTTTCTCTCTCTCTCTCTCTCGAAAATTATAAATTAAATTTCGCATAGTTGACAAACTTTCATATTATAAGGCAGATCATGAATGGAATTATGATTGCAATAATGTCAATTTCCACCAACCACGGATTAAAATTTTATAATACGAATAAGATGTAAAATGATTAATTAAAACTTTTCAACCCTGGTTATGCATTTAAAAAAAAACCTCGTTAAAATCTTTTAGTTAGCTGAAAAAATATTTTATTTTACTTTTTTAAAATACATGTCGTTTATGTTCTTAATATACATAATTTAATAAATTATAGAATAATTAGTGTGAGAATAAATATTTTTAACGTCGATGGGGCATGTTATTTTTTTTCAATACACACAAAAATAAAAAATATTAAGCACATTGAAACTATTTTTATAGTACTCCATCCATTCCTTATTATAAGAGACATTTGACGCTTATGGCATGTTCCTATATATAAGAGACACTTAAAAGTTATCTCTACTTTTTTATGTTGATTTCCTATTTTACCTATATTTATTATCTCCAACTCACACACTCTCTTCCTCCCACTTCTCCTTCTTTTAATAATTTAATTGTTCTCTCTCATGCTCTCTCTCCTTATTAATGAGGGTATTTTTGGAAAAAAAATTATACTTTTCATACATTTATTGTTCTTAACTAATTTTAACTGTTTTTTTTATTAACGAAATTCAGTTATTTGTCTCTTATAATAAAAAACAGAGGGAGTGGTAATTTAAATATGAAAGCATCCCGTGCATCGCATCTGGATAGTTTCCATATAATTATTGCCACTGATAGAGAAACTTAAAAAATAACAATAAAACAACAGAACGTGATCGATCATGGAAGGAACATATGCGATTGAAACCTGTTTAATATGAGGCGATCATGAATTTATGGTAAGAAAAATAAAAGGCGTGTGGGAGGGAGTATTTTACGCCTTGTTCTGCTGCGTGGTATTATGATCCAACGGCTAACGTTTGGTCATCGTAGCGTCCTTTTCACGCTCTGGTTACGGCGTAACCAGTCCCCGCATTGGCATGT